TGAGGTTCATCTGGATTTTCAGCAGGAAAAAAGATGAAGTTCCTGTAGTGAAACTCGGGTTTCTTTAGGAGAAAACATGAGGTTCTTGTGGAGAAACTCGGATTTCTACAGGAAAAAAGTTCTTGTGGTGAAAGTCGGGTTTCTGCAGGAGACAAGGTGACGTTCTTGTGGTGAGAGTCGGGTTTCTACAGGAAAGAACAGGAAGTTCGTGTGGTGAAACTCGGATTTCTGCAGGAGACAAAGTGACGTTCTTGTGGTGAGAGTCGGGTTTCTACAGGAAAGAACAGGAAGTTCTTGTGGTGAAACTCGGATTTCTGCAGGGAAAAACATGAACATCTTGTCGTGAAACTCGGATTTCTTCAGGAGAAAACATGAAGTTCTTGTGGTGAAACTCGGATTTCTGCAGGAGACAAGGCGACGTTCTTGTGGTGAGACTCGGGTTTCTACAGGAAAGAACCGGAAGTTCTTGTGGTGAAACTCGGATATGTTCCGGAGAAACGTTCTTGTGTTATTAACTTTTAATAAGCATAATAAAGAAACACCAGTAATTTTTAGGTTATTAAAATACATATAATTAAATTAAAACCAAATATTTGGTTAACGTGTAATGGAAATAAACCGCAGGTTTAACACGACCCCTTGAGTGTTTCCTAGAGAGAACCGACAAAAGAAATGGAAAGGGAGTAGTTGAACTGCAGCCCCTGCAATCCACGAACCTCAAAAGCTGCCCTGCTCCACTTACTTTCACTAATCACTACTTACTCGCTTCCTCGCTCTTGCAAAACCAGAAATGTCGAACGGTTCATAAAAAAATACATCTTTCTACTTCACATTTATTGAACAGACACAAACAGAAAAGAAAGTTATGATAACAATAAAAGAGTGGCTCTGCACGTCTGAGATAAAACAAAGTTGATTCAACCATCGATTTACTCAGGGAAATACTTCTGTGGAGCAGTTTATCAATCTACTGTCTCGCTATTTAGCTGGTGGGTGGTAGTGACGACAATGTTGTAACTCTGTACTCTCGTAGTTGTAATGTTGTGTTACTTTTTTTCTTCTTATTCTGAAACTTCTTCATCAAAAACTGACCGCTTCGTGTCAGATAGAATTCTTTTCGATACTCTGTTGACGGATAAATGTAGAGGAAAAATGTGAGTACTTGTGGAATGAAGAGAATTAGTGCGAGTGAGATGTTTGCACGGAGAAAGACTTTTGATGTTGTATCGACACAGCCGTAGACGAAGGGTAAGAGCACCTGTGGCAGGTAGAGAACGATGTAGAGTCCTGGTGCTACGAAGAGATGACTGTGACGACGAAGTTGGATCATCCACTGTGACTGGGAGTTCTGTTGCTGGTGCAAATTCGCCTTGCGTCTGCTGACATTGAGTATGACGAGAAGAATTGCTACAATGTTCAAACTGAATGGTACAATGACATGAATAATGGTGATGACTCGATCGGTGACGATCCACGAGTGTGAGGGAAGTGCGAGAACACAGACAATGCCGGTCGGACCCGTGGGATCGGGAATCGGAATTCGATAGACAAGTTCATAGCTTTGGGAAGCGAAGACGAGAAGAAAGATCAAGCTATTGATGTAAACGGCTTGAATGGCTGTGAATTTCGTGATTGTGTTAAACGAGGTGATTGTTCATTGTACGAAGATGAGTACGTTGAGCCATGTTGTTAGACGAATGAGGAAGATACCGAGAAACGGAAATGTGTGACAGAAGAAGAAGACACGAGCAGGTGTGTTTGCCGTTATATATTCACTAGCCAAGACATTACAGATTCGTGCCACGAGAACTGACATCGAAAGAATGCTGAGTGAAGATAGGAAGAGGAGTGTCGTGCCACAGTCTGTTTTGATAATTCGAGGGCGAAGGACAGTCTGAATTGTGAGCGCGTTTGTGAGGACGGCGAGGAAGGAGAGGAGAAAGGGGACGAGCGAGTAGATGATTTGAAGAAAGAGTTTGAGGTGAGCATTGAGTTCCGTGTGAATATCGCTGACCAACGACGAAGTGTAGGAAATGGAGAACTTTGTATTGTCCGTCTGACAGAGAAGTCCAGTGTAGCAGTGAGATGAACAGATGCAAGTGGCTACTGCTGTCTGATTACCGAATAGATAACAATGGCCGTCGTTGTAACAGATGTTCGTAGGACAGGAGGAGAAGGTTTGGTTCATCCTTTCTCTTTCTAGTGAGTTATAATGAGATATCTTCTACAGAGAGAGAGGCGGATCATTATTTCAGTTAGTGTCATTTTTCAGAAAGATTAGTTCTCTCTCTTTGTGAGTACGCACGTTCATTTATATAATTATTTAAGAGATAACGAAGAGAAGCTTAATTTTGTGATTCAAAGTCTTTTTTGTGGATGCCGTGTTACGCTAGTTGAACGTGAGAAGATTTATTGAAATTAGTCTTTTTTTTAACACGCAATATTAAAGATAGAAATTGGTGGAGAGGAACAACGATTGGTAATAGACCAAATAGATGAGGTGCTGAGGAATTCGACGTGTATCGTATTTAGACTTGAGTGGCACAGATCCGAGTAAACATTAAAGTTTCGAGGAAGGAATGAGCTTGGGTTCAACATTTCACAAAAGCAATGGAAATATCCATCCCTATTAAAATAGTACTTTTATCAAATAAGCCAGCACTATGTTTATCCAGAGCAACTAACTTCTTGATGAGGAAAAAAACGTTAGTTTTTAAGAATTATAAACAGATGGTTGCTCATAGACATTAAGAAATTTCGTTCTGAGCATTATGATCTATCAGCAGCATTACATATGAACGGTAACACCGCTACTACCGATCTAGCAAAAGCTGAGCTTCTATCAGAACATTTCGGAAGTTGTTACTCTACTGCACAAGGGCCTATGCCTAATCTACACACTGACGCTTGTTCTAATTTTCTCTCCACAATAAATTTCGATGTAGCAGAGATGTTTGAATACATTAATCATTAAAAAATAAAAAAAGCGTTGGCATTGATAATATTCCAGTTAAATGCTTGAAACTAAGTGCAGATATTATATCGCCACAGTTACATGACATCTTTAGCATCTCGCTTGATAGAGGGTAAGAGAGCAGAGACGTCAGTTTATAATTGATTGTTTATGTTCAAGTCGTTTTTCATTTCCAATCAAGCAACTACTTTAGTTGTACGTAGTCAAAAAATCAGCTCCACCTAATAAAATCGTTAAACTGATTTTCTGTATGTTCTTTTAAAATCTTTTCCGATTGATCAAATGGTTCATCATCTAATTTTTTTGTCAAAAAACTCTGATCGGTAAAAAGATCCGATTTACAACATTCCAAAAGAACGACATTCTTCCTAAAAGAAAACTTTAGTATTCCACAGAGGTACGTACAATGAATAATTTTCATGGCCAGAATTTTCCCATAAGGCTTTGTGCCAGCAAAAGATTGTGCATAAGAAATACTTTTGTCTATACCCTCAACATAACTGGAAAAATGGACTTCTTTTTAGGGTATGGTAAGGCGGTACCCAACCGCCTCCTCATAAAAATCGACGTTTTGAAAATCTTCAGGAAGTGGTCCCAAGTTGCTTTGGAACTGAAAACAAGCATTATCATTCCACTCAACATGATGAATTACTCCTGTCTTCAGGCCTTTTATAATCTTCCAAGGTCAATTTGCTGAAATCGGTGTTCTCGGGAAAACACTTGTAACTTCTGAACAAAACATGCCCGAAAGTCGGAACTTCTCTTCATCGAAAGAGAAAACGCTTTCCTATCGATTGGTCATATTCCAAGTCAAAATCCAATGGGAAAAGACTTCAGAGTATATTTTTGAAAATTTCCTGAAATTTCCTTTTGAAAGAATTTACCTGATTGATCAAGAACTGATCAATCAGATTTCGACACACATACATAGCCTCAGGTCTTGTCTTTTGAATGGTGAAAACTGCAGGTCTCCACGATGTTCAAATATCAAAAGTTATTTGAAAAACAGTAGAGCGCATCCTATTTGAAGCGGACAGTAGTGTAGGTGGACTGTACACACTATTTGTTTGTTCTTGAATAGAACATGCTATAATCTTGTAGTTTTGTGAAATATAACTAATAATTATTTACTTGTACACACAAAGTTTCATTGAAAACTAATGATGCTAAAGCGTATAACGTAATGTTTCTCGAAAACTGTACTTTTTATAGTCTAGTGGGGTGGAACAAAGAAATGTTTTCATTCCCGTAATTCATTGTGCCTAACATTTATTGAAAGTTTCGTCAAGATCGGATGTACGGTGTCGGAGATAATTTCTGAGAGGGACCCCTAAACAACGTACGTGGGCAAGTTTGACGCACGTATACAGTGAGTTTTCCAATTAATGGTGATGTTTTTACTTCATACACAGAAAATAATCACTCCAGTTTAATAATTGGTAATGACCAGCCAACCGCTTTTTTCAAAATTTTGTATGGTATGATTTTTACTCGAAATGAATCCAATGTTTGAAAAATCAGATGGTCTGTTATCAACTGTGCTAGTCCACCTCTGAGTAGGTTGAATTAACGTAGAAATCGGTATCATTGATAGACTCGTAATCAAGGCATCTATATCCAACGGTTCAACAAAGCCTAACGTTGGTTAGTTTCGACTACTTCTGCTTCTTCATAGTAGGCTAAAGCTGTTTGAGGAAATTTTTTCTCTTCTGCATGAACATTTCCAATGCATTCCTAATTGTTATTATCCAGCTCCTATACTAGCTGAATCATTGCCATTTTCCTTTTGTATTCTTTATTTCGTTGTTGTTTAGTATTTTTCGTTTTACTTTTCTTAGCCAGGCTGTCGTACAGTTTATTCACCTTTGTAACTCTTTCTTCATCATTTCATCCTTTTCTCTTCATCGCGTAAACACGTATTTTTCAGTTCTATAGTATACACTTTCTACTACATATCTACGTTATGTCTAAATACGCTTCATTAATATCTGTGAATGAATATTATACATCTCGGAAAACAAATAAAATGCAATTTACTCAAGTAATAGCACCAACGGCTCCAACAATTAACAGAACTTCAATTAACAGAGATTCAATAAGAAATGACATCTTCGAGATAATCTCAAATGATCAAGATGTGAAAGAGCAAATTCAGTCTTTACGAGAGAATTCTAAACCAGAAGATATTGTGAATATATTGCAAGATGTTGTTATGAAACGAATTGAACAACGTTTAATTGCTTTAGAACAAAAAACTAATTCAATTGAACAACAGCTTGAAAACATTCAGTTTAATGCAAATTCACGTGAAAGAATTTCAAGACAAAAGAATCTCCGTTTCATTGGAATGAAAGAACAAGCTGATATTGTAAAATCAATCACTGAAGGAGCTGCTAAGATTGGCATTCAATTGAAAAATGAAGATATAGAATATTGCCATCCTCTAGGACAGAAAAAAAAAGAACAACAATCTCCACAACCAGTTATAGCTGCATTTCTTTCTCGATTTAAACTAAAATCCTTACTATCAAAACGAAAAGAATTCAGACAAGCTACTGGTATTTCGATCTTTGAAGATGTAACAAGGTATGATAAATGGTTATTAGACCAAATGCGTGATAGTCTAGAAGATGAAGATCGAAAATATGTATTTACTAGAGGAGGAAGAGTTTGTTATAAAACAGAAGATCAAGGCATCGTATTTATTAATTCATATGATGATATTCAAAGATATCTATATGGATAATTGAATTTATTCTGTCTTGAAAACTCTCATAGGTACTGATCCTGAACCTTCTTGGCTGTCTGGGTCACATTCACCGTATATTTCATTTTTCCATTTTTGATCTGTTCTTCTTGCAGTTAAGATGATATAGATATTTTTACAGTTCTGCTTCTTTTTTGTCCATAGACTATTACGTAGATATGTGTAGAGAGACATGCGATCATATGACTTCAAATCTATTTTATTCCTTCCTTTCCCGACCTAATATGTTGCGTTCTAAGACTGTAGTGTATGAAATAATTGATAATGGTTAAAACGTTCTATACTACAAATCAGTTGCATAGAGAAACGATTCTGCTGTTGAATGTTAACAGATTAATGGCATCGTTTGACAATAGCAAAAATGCGATTTCTATCCCATATCCCATTACGGTCAAAAAATTTGAAATTTTAGCGAGTTTAGTAGAGCTAGAAAAACCTGCGGTAGTAGTAATCACTGAGACTTGGTTAGATGATACTGTTCTTGACTCAGAACTACTGTTAAACGGTTTTCAGGTGCCACTTCGAAGAGATAGAGCAGGGAAAAAAGGTGGTGGCATCTTAATTTATGTAAGGAATAATCTGTCGTGTAAACACTTAGCTGAGTTCGATATGTGGATTTTGAAACACTTTTCTGTTCTATTCAGTTCTCTAAATCAAAAACTATTTTGTTGTCAGCATGTTATCGACCTGATTGGATTGATATAGGAGATTTTATTGTACACCTAGACACTGTTTTAACTGACATTGGAAGCAATAATTGTTATAAAAATACTGATTTGGTCTTCCTAGGAGATTTTAATGCACATTGTTATGAATGGTGCCCTACGAAGGCTTCTACTCTTGAAGGTAAAAAGCTCTATGAGTTTGCTAACGATGTACAGTTTTTTCAAATTGTTGAAAAACCCACTCGTCCGAAATCATCTACTGGTTTAGATTTAATTTTTCTTGATAATTTAAATTTAGTTGAGAAAATAGAAATTTTGCCTGAATTATGTTGTACATGCGATCATAATGTAGTTAAATTCAGTATCAATATAGCTCAACTGCCTGTCACGCAATATAGTAGAAAGATCTACGATTATAGAAGAGCAAATTGGGATGTTTTTCGTGATAAATTAGCCGAATTG